TTTGCATTTATTTTTACTCTTTCTGAATTTTTTATAATTTTTTTGAATCTATTTCTTTTCTTTTCCTTTTCTTTTTTCCTTCTTCCTTTGCTAGTCACCATTCCGGTAACCAGCCACAGCCACAGCCACAGTCTGTGGCCGACGATGGTCTACCGGCAACCTCGCTAGCCAACTGGTTCTGGGAAAAGGATAAAAAAAAAAGAGAAAAAAAGAAACAAAACATTTAAAAATTTTGAAAAAATTATTATAAAATTATAAATTTTATCCACGTTAGCGCCGGCGGTCCTACGTGGCACCGCCGGCGTTCACGTCAGTGATTTTCGGCCTAAATTGGTCAGATGGATTGAATTGGTATCATTGTGAAAAGGTTTAGGATTAAATTAATCCAATTGAAAGGTTTAAGACTTAATTGGTACTAATACAATAAGTTTAGGACTTTTTTGGTACTTTTCCCCCTTTTAATGGAATGACATAAATAGAGATCTAGCATTCATGGTCACTACATAAAACACTATCCCCGAGTGACAACTATTAATTGCAGTGTAAAACCTTGGTCTCGTATCTTCTCCATCACCAGCAAGGTGGGGAAAAAAGAACGAGGAAGAGAATGAGAACACCCAAGACAAATCTTCTCCTACTACTGGCACTGACCCTTTTCAAGATTCAAATGGCGACCGCCTTCCATGTCTATGTCATAAACAACTTGGGAGACGACAAAAATCTGACCACGCATTGCCGATCGACAGAGACCGATTTGGGCACTCGGGTCTTGGAATTCGGAGCGGCTTTCGATTGGGAATTCGAGATCACGATCGGGCATGTGGCCGAGTACTGGTGCGACATGAGCTGGGCCAGCTCCCATGGAGACTTTCAGGTGTTCTACGAGCCGAGGGACGCTTTAAGGCGCGGCGACCAGAAGTGCTATTGGCGCATCGACAGGGACGGATTGTATCTCTACATCAAAAGCGATGATGATTATGAGTTGCAATTTCGCTGGCCTTAGTTGGATATGTTGAGTTGGTAACTCAACATGAATAAAGGGGAGTGATACTTTTTTGGTCCAGTTGTTCTGCTTTTGATGGAAAGACACTGTTTTTCATTCCTCTTTTGCTTTGATCAATTATTGTTGTGCTAGATTGCACCACCGGGTAAGGATAAGATTGATTCCCCTTTTGATGTTAAAAAGCACAAGATCAAAAGAAGAGAAGAGACACTTCCGATTCTTGAAGGAATAGGACGAAATAGATGAGTTTGTTTGTTTGAAGGAAACTTGTTTTCTGTCTTTCCCATGTTTGGGTGACAGAAAGCTAATCGGTTTATGAAAAACATTTTTTAGGAAGTTTAAATTTGGGAAAAATTTCTTCCCTTCTGGCTAAAATTGGCCAAATATTATTAAAAAATATCCACGTCAATGCCGACCATGCCACGTAGGTAGTCAGCGATTTCGAGGTAAAATTGATCAGATGGACTTAATTATTAAAACGTGAAATGGTTTATGACTGAATTGGCACAAATACAATAGGTTTAGGACTTTTTCGGTAATTATTCCATTTTTATCGATTTTAATTTTTCAAAAATAAGCCTCACATGAGTTCGTTTCACTTGCTGGTAAACTATAGTAAGTGTTGGCAACTATCAAAAGGCTAATGATAAACAAAAATGACTGGTAACTTTTTTCCAAGCAAAATGTTATTAACTTATCAATACTATTAGGAAAACACCAACTCCTTTCATATGTTGCAAATTGGCAATTTTTTTAGTGACTTACCAACTTTTATTTGCATGAATTACCAAAGTCTTTGAATTCACCAACCCTCATATGAAATTATCATTCTACATTAAAGTGATTACCAGCTTTTGTCGTATTAAGTTATTAACTATTTTCCAATTACCACATCTTGTTTGAGTTATCTATCAATGTTTAATTATTTTTCTAAATTAGCAACTCTTTTATGAAGTTACCATTTTTTTTATTTGTCTTGATTAGCAACCTTTTCAATTTGCTAATTCTTTTCTTAAGGCCAACATGAAAAAGCGGGTATGTATTTTTTAAAGGCAAACAAAGTACATCGAAAGACGAGACAAAGAAAACCAAAAAAGAAGGAAATCCTTGAACACCTAGTCAACCAGCCGAAATAGTTTACCAGCATTCATACATTAGACTTGGCAAGGAAAATCAATCAACCCGTGTATCACGGTTATGACCAAGTAAAAGCGATGTAATCGATTCCTAATTGCACCAACCGTTGCTTTTTCTTTTCTTGAAAAAAGTACCATTTCAATCCAACACCAAGTTGAAGACGCTGAACCTAGATGCACACCACCAAAAGGTAAAATTGTAACTATAGATGGAAATCTCGGCGTGTGCTTATCACTGATGATGCGGTGTGATTCGGTGATCGGTCGCCGATCCTTTCGCTTGGATGCAATCACAAATCTGTTATTGAAGGACAAGCATGTGATTATCTTGACCCATTATGCTCTGATGATATGCTTTGATTTCTCGTTTATGATTTGTTTTGAAGGTCTGTGGGCTTGCTTTGTTATTATGACTTTTGAGATTTTCTATCTTACGAATGAAAATTTGTTTTGATCAAAAAGAAAATCCAACGCCAAAGTTATATCCACCAACACAAAGCAAACAATTTATACACATGCTATCATGATTTATTACCATGCTTACCACAATCTATAGGAAAATACCTCGAAATATATTTTTTTTATGAAAAGGGCTAAAGCCGTATACAAATTTTTTTTTCTTTTGAAACGCCTCGGAGTATTGAACCAAGCATCAACCAATATAATATATGCAAAAAAAAATACTTTTGGTGGTTATGTCCCCCACTGACCTCGCAGTTATCCACCAGTTTCGGACCTATACGAAACGTGCCCCTACAATCGCCTCAATTTTCGGTACCATGTTCTTGCTTTCTTTTCGCGTATATAAACCGAATCGATCGAAACCCAAGCAAAACCAACGATGACTTCTCTTCGCATTGCTCTCCTCTTAGTATTGGTAACAACGAAGAGCGCAAGCGCGAGGAAACTCTCAGAAAACGTCGAAGATGCGACGGTCGACGAGCCAGTTGTTAGTGTGGTGAGCGCGCTGCCGAACGGCACGCGAGCCATGCAGATCCGTTGCAAGCCCAAGGGCTCAGCCGCGGTGATCGACCAGGCGCTGAGCGCGGGGCGGGGATGTAGTTGGACGGCCAGGGAGAAGGCGCTGTACCGGTGCGAGGCGGTGTGGACGAGGATGTTTGCGGCATGGCACGCGTTCCAGCCCCACCGCGATGCGGGGCGCGGCCGGGTGGTTTGGCTGGTCAGGGAGGAAGGGTTCTTCCTCGGGGTGAATGGGACCGGTTGGGTCAGGAAGGCCGTGTGGGAATCCGAGTGAAGGAATTTTGAGTGAGTTGTAGTACTTCTCTAATGATGTCAACAGTCCCTATATGATGGTTATAGTCACTAAATCACTCAAGGAAATCCACTCTTGAGAAGTTCTCAAGAGTATAGTGTCTTATCCTCCATGAGTTTGAAATCCTCTATTTTTGGGCTATGGAATTTGCTGAAAATTGATAAGAAAATTGAATTTTTCATTTTAGGAAAGGTTTATTGTGGTTTTCGAGGGCGCGCTGGACCTAGGTCGCACGCAACCCGAGTGGCCCGAACCGTGCCGGAAGGCCCGTTTCACTCAAGATATTTATCAAACACTTGGACCCAGCCTACTAGGCCTAATTTCACTTGTCACAAAGCTTGCCTCCAAAATGCCCTCATTTCCACCCTTAATCAGAAATAAATTGCTGTAGTCCACAACTTTACAACTACAACTGCCCTAGCCTGAAGATTTCATTTGTGGACTCGAATAGGGGTTTAGAGATGTCGCCAGTTTCAGGAGCCCAAGTCTGCAATTCACAAAGAAAAGAACAAAAAACCCAATAGATTAGGCCTTGTCAGGTCCAGCCTATTACTCAATCGTTACACTTGTGCAGTAGTTATCAACCGGTGCGCTTGCATCGAGCATAAACAATCATGCGTTAATGTGGGATTAGTTTGATGTTCCTTCTGTTTTCGTCCAATGGTAAAGTCTGAGGTTCGAAGAGTTGTGGAGGATCTATGATTAAGCACCATCATCGACCTCATAGCCCGGATCGAATCGGCCGAACCCAAGGACATTGTTTTCGATCCAGTAACGAATCTAGACAAACGGTCAAGCCCGACCCGAGGAGCCGGCCTCGTCCGGCCCCGCCTACCATGACCTCTCTAGTGCTAAGTGGTGGAGGTTGCCTTTTCAATGTACTCATTTGTATTTGCAAATCCACAAAAAAGGAATGGGCAAGTGGAGGCAGGGCAACATCACGAAGCCACTAGTTACTAGTCACTACTGACATTACGTATGTCAGTAGTGAATTCGTATTGGAGTTAGCTAATTTAAGGTGTCGGAAAGAAAGAAGATAAGAAAAGCTGATATTTATAAATAGTAAATGAAAAGTCATAAAATTGTTGGGACTCGGTGATTACTAATGAGTTTTGGGAAAATTAGAATACCGATAACCTTTTTCACCAATAGTTTTTTTAATAATTATTAGCTCTTTCAGAAATTACCAATGAAAATAGTTTTGTCGTCAGGAGCTTCTGTTTTTCATATCTCAATTTAAATCCTACGAATCTAACACCATAAAAAAATTGGAAATGTAATGCCTCAGAAAACCCACCAGTGCTCTTTGTTTTTACAGGAAGGTACATAAATTTTCTCTCGTTTCCAATTTACCAAATCTGAGCAGAATTGAAAGACAATTCCTTCCCGAGACGGCTCTGTTTGCTGAGACCGCTGATCAATCTTTCATTTACAAGAAACTCTCCATTAATAACTCGCGTCTGTCACCAACCATCAATCTTCACCCTATAAAAAGAGGCTCGAGCTAGAGACTTCATGCATGCATGCAAAGACCAAGCAAATCAGGAGGGAGCATCTTCTAGCGCGCCACCTCACCTGATCGAATCTAATGGAGAACCGAAAGACGGCGAGGACTTGTGTCATGTTTGTGGTGCTTTTCGTCCTCACCGTGCACGGCGGAGCTGCACGTCCTGTGAGGAGCGGCAGCGATCGGACGCTGAAAGAGCAAAATGAACTGCAAGCTCGTGCACCGGATGCGGCGGCAGCAGGACCAATAGGGACTGGAGGAAGTGGCGTGGGCGATCAGAGGAACTTCCTGCCGCTCGGTGGCGTCGGGATGGGCGCCGGAATGGGTGGCTATGCTGGCATGGGCAGTTACGTCGGCGGAGTAATGCCAACGCTCGGCAGGGTCAGTGGAGTCGGTGGTGGCTTTGGTATGGGCGGCGGTTTCGGGGCGGGAGGTGGTGCCGGTGTCGGTGGCATGGGGGGCATGGGCACTGGTCCGCTCGGGGGACTTAACGGCCTTGGTGTCGGCCCCGGTGGAACTGGCGGTCCTCTTCCTCTTCCTTAGGTGAAAGTTTTGCCTAGGGCTCAATCAACACGGTGAATTGAGCATACAAGCTGCTAGAGTTTATGCATTTTGAAGCTTTCTTTCAATGTCGGTGTGACGGTGTTTTGTTTGTGTTTTCGAACTTTTGGTGGTTGTTTAGAGTGTAACTTTTTATGTGGTTTGAGGCTGTCACAAGACAACCTATGTTCTTGTGTTTGCGCCAATGAATTTGTCATTCTTGCTTCTGCGTTTTTAGTCTCTTGAATGAATTTTATCTTCCCACTGATTTGGATTGGCTCGCATATGTTATTGGGAAGCTCTCAAATGCATGCTAGACTCAATTTACTAACTTGTTAACACTATGATTTATCATGTCTTGAATACACATCTTTGTCACGTATTTTCTTAGATTGATGTCTCAAAAATATTGACCCTAAAATAGGGGTGTGAAAAGGAATCGGAAACCGCTCGGAACCGGACCCGATCGGCCCGGAACCGGACCCGATCGGCCCGGAACCGGACTCGACCGGCCCGGAACCGACGGTTCTCATGGGGACCGGTCCGGTTCCCGATTCAAATTTATTAGAACCGATGAATACCTGTCAGGTTCCTGATTCAAGGCGCGGAACCGCCAGTCCGCCCATCTAGACCGAACCGATATATATATTAAAAAAATATTATGGGATTGGGGATGATATTTTCGAGTGTGCATGATTGCTGTGCGAAGATGGTGGCTCTGTAAAGAAAAGAAGAGAGAGAGGGGAAAGGGCTTGGTTTTCTAAACAATTGAGGCCAACCCCACATTTTTTTCTAACCCGGTCTTGCCTCTACGACTCTTATATGGCAATCCATGTGTGTATATAGATTCCATCTTGTGATACATAGAACTCGGAGACTCTCTCTCTCTTCGTCTTCTGCAAGAGATTCGTGAAGCTAGTCGTCGTCTACAACGCCTGTAGATGGGGTCGAGGCCAATCACCCAATACGTTCGTTTGTTCATCAGTCAAACCTGAGGACTATAATATTAATTGATAAATGTAATTTTGTAAGGATTGTGTGTGGTCCAATTCTCGGGTGGGTCCATGAAACAAACAGGCAGTTCCCGGTTCCAAGTTTTTGGAACCGGTTCTTAGTGGGCGGTTCTCGGTTCTAGGATGAGAAAAGCCCACCCGGACCATGCTCACCTCTACCCTAAAGTGTTGAACCTATTATATGGATGTCAATTCAATTATAAGCTCTTTGATTTTGCCAATTTACTCTTAAATTTTCACGCAAAATTCCAATGTACTCCTTCTGTTCAATTTTCGCCAGAAATCAATGATGCGGCGATCCAATCATCACCGGCCGTCTTACGTGGCACATCGTCACATTAGCGATTTTTAGCGAAAATTGACCAGAGCAAAGGTTTAGGATTAAATTGGCCAGTCACTTGGCCGAGGGAGAAGGAAAAAGAAAAAGAAATTTTAAAAAGAAAAGAAAAAAGGAAACAAAAAATAAAAAATAATTAAAAATACGAATTTCTTTTTAAAATATTTTTATAAGAATGAACATTTCATTAACCAAGGATCTAAGCTCGGGCACCGAGGATCCGCGAACGACCTTTGTGGACCAAAGGTCAATCGTCGGGGGCCCGAGCATAGCCTTTATAGGCCTAGGCCCAAGCACGGATTTTATGGGTCCGGGTTCGGGTGCCGAGGAATCGGGCACGGGCACCAAGGGTTTAGGCTTGGCCTTAATGGACTCGGGCATATACACTAGGGCCTTGGGCTCGGTCTCGGTGGACCCAGGTCGGCTACCGGAGACTTGGTCCTGAATGCCAAGACCAGGGAATCAACGTTAAGATTTTCGTGCCCAAGCATAGTGTTTCGGGTCCAAGCGTCGATACTTAGTCATATTTTGAAAAATGTTTTCCGGCTTTCAAAAGACAAAATCATTTTCCTGAATTTAAGCATAAGTTTTCCTTTTACAAGAAAAACATTTTCCGTTGACTCATTTTTCTAAGCGAACCAAATGGCAAAAAAGGAGGAAAATGTTTTCTTGAAAAATATTTTTCACGAAACAAACGGAGCCTAAGTGTCTTTCTAAGGTAAAAATATGCTCCATTATGCCGAAAAACTAATGCTTATAATGGTTTTTTTTTTACTGTTAGGATATCTCTGTTTTCAATTCTCTTATTGAAGGAGAAAATCAGATAATAATTAAGTAGACTATTTTCTCCATATTAAGTCGAACAATGATGCAGTTTGTATAGTGTTATCTCGAGACAAAGATCGCAACAAATGTTAATATCTCTTTTTAAAATGCCCCAACGGGTCTCCCATGCACGGAAAGCTGCCGAGTTCGCTTTAAGCATCGGATCGGATCCGCCCTCTCCCTCCCCGGAAAATTGCACATTTTCCTCAAGTAAAAGACGGGCATCCTCCGGGATTCCCGTCGACTCGCTTGACGCTTTCCTCGCGCACACTGTAAGTATAAATGTAGCTATGCTTGTGGTTGCTGCTGTAGTCCTTCGAATATGGCATCCCGCTTGGCTCTGCTATGCTCACTCCTCTTCCTATTGATATTTGATAGTGGCGTTAAGCATACCTAGCTGTACGAGCTCCTCTTCCAATTTCCGCCACCTCCGTATTCCTTTGCCTCATCCTCCGCCATTCAGATCTCCTCCTCCTCAACAGCGCAGACCACCATCACTGTACGTAAACAGAGCCAGAGGTGGAGGCGGCAGAAGCGGAGGTGGTGGTGGTGCAGATCAAGGCGGCTTCGGCTATGGGTACAGATCGTGCGGTGGCTTTGGTGTTGGGAGTCAGTCGGGTGGCGGTCGTTCAGGCAGTGATGGCTCGGATGGAGGTGGTGGTGCGCGTTGGGAAGACCTCTCCAGGTTCTCGCTGAGAAACAAGGCGGGCACGGTTTCATGCACTCCTAGTGCCTTTTGTATATCCCTAGGGCTATGTTCACTACAAAAAAACATGTTTTTTGCGACGGATTTTGCGACGAAAAAATCGCAAAAATCCGTCGCAAATCATTTTTGCGACGAATTTAGCGACGGAAAAAATTCCGTCGCTACTAGGTCGTCGAAAATTTTTGCGACGGAAAATTTCAATTTTCGTCGCAAATTTGCGACGAAAAAAAAATTCGTCGCAAAAAATTCATCGCAAAAATTGTCGCAAATTAGCCACGAACACTATCCGTCGCAAAGTTCGTTGCAAATATTTCGTCGCAAAATTCGTCGCAAATTAGCCACGAACACTATCCGTCGCAAAGTTCGTTGCAAATATTTCGTCGCAAAATTCGTCGCAAATTAGCCACGAACACTATCCGTCGCAAAGTTCGTCGCAAATATTTCGTCACAAAATTCGTTGTAAAATTCGTCGCAAATTAGCCACGAACACTATCCGTCGCAAAGTTCGTCGCAAATATTCCGTCACAAAATTCGTCGCAAAATTCGTCGCAAATTAGCCACGAACACTATCCGTCACAAAGTTCGTCGCAAAATTCGTCGCAAAATCCGTCGCAAAAATCGTCGCAAAAGTCACCGCAAAATTTGTCACTAATTTTTCGTCACAAATTTTCATCGTAAAATTCATCGCTAATTTTTCGTCGCAAAATTCGTCGCTAACCTCTGATATCAAGTACATGAATATTGGCAACAATAGTACATGCTTTAATATAAATTCTCAGTACAGAGCTGAGCTCTCGAGGGAACCCTGAGCTTCATATCCTCGGCGGCCCACCACACCCTCCTCGAGATCTCCCGCCACCCCTTGTACACCCGCACCACCGCGAGCAGCTCCGCCGGCGGCAACCTCCTCAGGACCTCCCACAAGCACCTGGCGGGCAACCCGCCGGCGTCCGCATCCCCGTCCACGAAATCCCGATCCCGCTCGTCGAGATCCGGCTCCACCTCGTCGAAGTCCTCCTCCTCCTCGTCGGCGCGGACGTCGAGGTCGTCGAAGGAGAGCACGCGGCGGATGAGAGCGAGGACGGCGTGAGGGCGACAGCGGACGCGGAGGAGGCGGCAGCAGCGGCGGCGTTGACGGGCATGGAGGAGGCCGCGACAGCGGCAGCGGCGGAGGAGGAGTCGGTGGGGAAGGGGGAGGAACCGGCATGGCAGGAGCGGCCCTTCTTGGAGAGGCCGCAGCGGCCGCAGTTGTAGCTGCCGCGCTTCTTGCCGCGCTTGGCGGTGGCGTCGTTGGAGGAGGAGGCGACGAGGGAGTCGGAGGGGAGGAGGTGGGGCCGGTGGAGGCGGCGGATCATGGCGGAGGAGCGACAGAGGAGGCTAGAGAGACAGAAAGAGGGAGAGAAGTTAGAGAGAGAGAGGGGGAACGCTGTGGTGGTGGGGGAATAAAAAGAGCGAGCAAGGGGAGACGATGGCGCGAGGGGGGATAGCGCGCGGGTTCCTGAAAATTTTCGATCCGACGCAAATTTGCGACGGAAAAAAAAATCCGTCACAAATTTGCGATGGATTTTGGGACGGAAATAAAATCCGTCGCAAATTTGCGACGGAACATAAAAATCCGTCGCAAATTTGCCCCAAAAATAATATCCGACGCAAATTTGCGACGGAAAATAAAAATCTGTTGCAAATTTGCGACGGAAATAAAATCCATCGCAAATTTGCGACGGAAAATAAAAATCCGTCGCAAATTTGCGACGGGAAAAAAATCCGTCGCAAATTTGCCCCAAAAATAAAATCCGACGCAAATTTGCGACGGAAAAAAAATCCGTCGCAAATTTGCGACGGAAAATAAAAATCCATCGCAAATTTGCGACGGAAATAAAATCCATAGCAAAGTTGCGACGGAAAATAAAAATCCGTGGCAAATTTGCGACGGAAAAAAAATCCGTCGCAAATTTGCCCCAAAAATAAAATCCGACGCAAATTTGCGACGGAAAAAAAATCCGTCGCAAATTTGCGACGGAAAATAAAAATCCGTCGCAAATTTGCGACGGAAATAAAATCCGTCGCAAATTTGCCCCGGAAATAAAATCCGACGCAAATTTGCGACGGAAAAAAAATCCGT